ACGCGGCACCACAGTTTGCTTTAAGAAAATGAACCGCATTCATAACTTTAAAGCACTTTTCTTTAATTCTCTCTGTTTGCACGTCTCCAATTTGTTCATGTTATCAATTCTTCCTTTGCCCATTCTTTCATTAGCTCAGTAACAACCAGACATTATTACAATGAAATTTCTCTTTGTACTGTTGGTACATAAATGGGTGACGAGAATGAACATATTCATCAGATCTGAGGATGTCATCTCAAGCAACACCAAGTTTTTCTTGCGGGGCTGCCACGCACGCTTCGCGCGCGTGGGGCAGAGCCCCATACCCATGGAATATGGTCAACCTCTCTTCGTTTGGGTGTCACGTGACTGACCGAGCGTACTTACCTACGTGCCCTCAGATTGCACGGGTAAGGTAGACTATCAAAACGAAGGCAGGGCTGACTCAGGCGAGTCTTGGCAAAGGCACATCTTTTATATTATCATTAATATTACGATCTTGGGAGCTCTGCTTTTAGGCTTGGCTAAATCTGTATATTATTTGTGGTAGGGTTTTTAGGAGGGAAGGGCACCAAATGCATCTTGGGTGTTCAAGGGTTGATGGGACAGAATTGGAGCCAGAACAGAAGAGCTACTGTATATATTGTTCAGAGAGGACTATATTGCTGTCAGAGGCCAACAAGTTACTAGAGAACAATTAGATTTGATTTATATTTCTTTAACCTCAAGAACTGAAGTTTCCAACTCTGTACCTCTTTTCCTGGACAAGGCATTTTCTGATCATGGCATTCTTATGACCCTAAGGAGGGCTAGAGAAATTCATCCATAGCCATCTCGGTCCATCTCACCAATGCTAAAACAACAACAACCATTGTAATCTGGTCATACAGTTTCATGAACAACATAATAACATTGCAAACAAAGTGGGCGACAGGACTATAGAAGGACTAACCTACCACAATCTTTAATGGGATCAACATTTCCTAAAATTTTTCAAAAAAGTCAGTGTATAACAAGCAACATCTCAGTACAGCTGTAAATCTCCTTTCCTTGACTTATGGTTTAACACCCCCTTCTCCCTCAGCACTCCAACTTCTGAAGATTCTTACCCTCCCTAGGAACAAAATTGCATTCATTACCCTTCCCAAAAGCCACATTTGATGGTCAAATGCCCCTCCCAATAAACCAATTTTTCGGCACTGCTATCAGGTGTTTTTGCTCACAAGCATCATTCTATGAAGTGAATATTATTTATTTGCCTCAGACTTCCTCCATGACAAAAAAAAAAATGTGTATTCTACTGGAAATACTTGACACTTCTGGTTCATAATCCCTTTCCCCAAGAAGGCCTTTTGTCAAATTCTCCACTCCCCAGTTATGGACAACGGTCAAATGCCAAAGGGGGATGTTTAGGTGCCTTAGTAGGCCATGGACATATCCTATTTATCCTCAACAGAATGGGTTACCTGGCTGTGTACATTCAGCTTCCAGGATCTAAGGGTGCTCTAACTTTAGGTTCCCTATCTTTGAGATCTCTCATAATTTTGGACCTGGCATGGGTTTCCTGATGTGTAGTAAAATGCTTGTGTTACCTGCTGCGAATCTTCTTCAAATATGAAATTTTATTCACTATAACAATGTTGAAGAAAGTACAATTAGGATACAGCGATTCATCTGAATTAAAATATAAACAAGAAATTTAAACTTCGTGAAAATCAGAATACAAATTTACTTTTCTAAACAAATCATTGTTCTTCTAGCAGACTAAATGAAACGATCAGAGATACATACAGCTGAAAAAAAAAAAAAAAAACTATGAAAAGTTTTTGCACAGTTCCATGGTGTATGATATAAAAACTGAAAGCATGTTAAAGATGGCTGAAGGATAATGATACTCTCTGGAATAAAAGTGAGTCATTGTGATTCAAGTTGTTGGCCTTCCTCTTCTCCAGTGACTGCTGCAATCAAGCTGAAGGATAATAATACTCTCTGGAATAAAAGTGAGTCACTGTGATTCAAGTTGTTGGCCTTCCTCTTCTCCAGGGATGGCTGCAATCAAGCGCTTCTCTTTCTGCCTCCTGTTACAGAACCACACTCGCACAACTTCTTTATCAATTCCAAGGTTTTCTGCGAGCCCTTCCACTTCTTGTGAGGATGGTTTGGGATTGGAAGAAAAGTGTTTCTCCAGCACATTTTTGACAGTGACGTCAATTGATGTTCTCTTCTTTCGCTTTCTTCCCTGAGTTTCCAGTGGATTGCCATTGCTTGTAGAACTTCTATTGTTATCAGCCTCTTCTAACCACCTCATCAGTAAGGGCTTGAGTTTACACATGTTCTTAAAACTCAATTGCAGAGCCTCAAAGCGACAGATGTGAGTCTGGCTAAACATGCTGCCATACATTTTCCCCAGAGCAAGGCCAACATCAGCTTGTGTGAAATGCAGCTTGATTCGTCGTTGTTTAAATTCCCTAGCAAACTCTTCTAAATCAACCGATGTTGGTGCATCTTCATCTTGCAAACTAAACTCTGTGTTGTCCACTGACGTTTCTGAAATAAGAGTTGAATATTGCGATAAATTCACTGTCTCATACAGTGGAACTTTGATTTAACGAAGTGCCAAGGGAGTGGGGAAATTGGTTCATTATATTGAGGTTCTGTGACATACATTTCACTGTAACTTTAGCCAGGCTGAAACTGAAGTATCATTTGTTATACTGAGGACTTTGTTATTATACAGGTTCATTAAATTGAGGTTCCACTGTTTATCTAACAATTGGTTTATGCTAATCCAAAGTGTAAAATGACACTTACAAAGTGGCAAGTGATCCCCTAGTTTATCAATCATACCAACATGTAAATGACTCTAAATAAAGTTTTTACTTACTATGTTTATCATTTCTAGGAGTCAAAGGGTTTACTGTCAAAGATCTAAAGCTTGAATTTTTTGTGGGCACGGAGAGTGAAACCATAGACCACCTCATAAATGGCTGCCGGATTAATACTCTTTTGTTTAAATTTAAATTAGCCCTTCTGGCCTCACTTGAGATAATGTATTCTTTTGAATTTTGTACTGGAGAACGAGGCCAGAAGGGCTAACATTTAATACTACATTTTGCTCTGCTGTATGTATAAACTTGGCTATTGATGAAAACATGTGCATGTAATGTACATGAAATATACAAAATGGCAGATCTCTCCTGGCACATTGCCCCCAGCATGTAGTGGGGTATTATATAAACAATATTATACCAGTTTTGAACACTCAATACTACACTACTGTCACAAAGTCAGGGCTTTTCCAATGCTCAAGAATACCCCAAAGGGTTGGCTTTGCAATCTGGAAGGCTCTTCAGGATTGCTCAACACTCCCTCATTGACATACAGCATTTTAAATTAGCTGCCTTCCATGGATTCCTCTGATTTATCAAAAATAATGAACTTCCGGACATTTAGTGTTCCTCTTAATTAGTGTTTTGGCTGTCTGCCAGTCACTTAGCCATAGCAGTACGTAGTTGTAAAGAAATTTTTTTCATGTGTGTGTTCCTTTCATCGTGATCACATCAGCCCTACTGTAATTTGTTTATTCTGCATGGTGAGACAAAGAAGTTTAAATGCTACTACTATTTCTTTGGTGTTAATATTTTGCCAACAACTGATGTCGAATAGATGTGTTGATTCACCGAGGAAATAAGCAACAGAGCTGGAAACATATTGTGCTTCACAACCCAAAGCAGAAAGTTCGTAATGTCTCAGCCACCCCGTTCCGCACTAACAATTGTTAATACGATTCCAGCGTTGTGCAGCGACCGAAATCTGACATTCGAACCTAAAAATATAGCACAGAGATGAAAACTCTCTTCAAGTAACATGTTTCAAGGGTTTTCGAGGCAAAAAACGAAGTGTGCGATTTGCGTGATTCTCCTCAAATCAAGTTTTCCTCCACAAAAACGTTTGTCGTCTGCTTTGAATTTATAGACAACAAATATTTCAAGCATCACGTTGTGCGGAAATAGATGACACTCGATTCCCTCAAGAAAAAGATAAACAATGTAATTGGCGCCATTTTCCATACATTTTCAAAATGGCGGACTGCGAAACGAAAAGACTGCTTATCGAGTTGTGTATTTAATTAAGTTGGCTAAACCTTGCCAAAATCTAAATAACACATTATTTTCTAAAGAAGAAATCAAGTTACCCGTATAATCGCTGTTTCCTTCCTTTGATTCTGCTTGGATCTCATGAAGATTTCCTCTAAGATTTTGCACTTCCATCTGTGTAAGACCAATCTCGGTTAGCTTGTCGTCTCCTAAGTCGAGAAAATCCTTCACCTTCACAACTCCAGAGCGGATAAAAGCTTCTCTATGTTTTTGTAAGTTAGCTCGGTTCAAAAGACACTCTACGTCTTTCTCCAAGGTGTCACTTCGGTCAGTGGCGACACTAGCACTTTCGGATTCCACCATGCTGTTCTATTATCAAAAGCGAAGGACAGAGCGGGTATTGCGTGACACATTCGATAAGATAAGGTATCGGAATAGCCGACTTCAGAATTCGACACCTCTGAAACAACCAAACTTCTTCCTATTCTGCTTCTGCACTACTCTCGAACTTGAAATTGAAAAATTTGCTTTTGATCAGGCAATCATTCTTTCCTAAAAATATCAATATATATTTTTTCCCACTGAAGCAATTAGCGAGATGTTAGACAAGATAACTTAGCGTGGTGTTTATGTCTGTAGTAGCATTTTTTTTGCACGTGGTCCGATTCGAACTAGTTCTTGGGTGTCAACCACGGTGCCGACGATGCGCTACAGTTTCCTGAGCAGAACGATTTTTGACTGTGCTACTTAGTAATTATTTCATTCCAACCAAAAATTTACCTCTTCGTCTCTTTTTAAATTATACATGTTGAGATTTCGTCCTGAGCTGTCCCCTAAGCCGATTCGTTGACGTATAGAACTGAAATCGAAAAGAAACCCTCGTCTTGATTACTGAAATATGCTTATTATTAAAATGGCGAACGGTCATCCAGTCTAAAACATCAAGTACATATCACTCTTGCTTTTCCGTACAAACACAACAGAGATACACATCTTCTCATACTGTGACAATATGTAGTGCTATTTACTTGTTGTTTTTTTTTTTTAATTATTGTTTTAATATTTTTACAAGTTTAAAGTGAAAGTTAGCTGGATTAGGTGTAAAAAGGAACAAAGGAGGACTGTGCTATTTAAAACACACCGACAGCACTTATAAAAACTTAGGACTAAGAAAAAAATGCGTCCCAGATGTGCGATTAAGCACCAGCAATTACGCTAAAGATGTCATATCATCACATGCATTGCTCCCTCCGTAAATTGTCCACTGTCGCAGTGATTTCCGTGTTCCTTGGTTTCTTCTGAAGTTAATCTTTTCTCTTTCTGTCGTCTGTTGCAAAACCACACTCGAATAACCTCTTTATCGATGCCGAGATTTGTGGCCAGAATGCCTATTTCAACAGCAGATGGTTTCGGGTTTGCGCAAAACTCGTTCTCCAAGACACTTTTGACAGAAACCTCAATCGATGTCCTCTTCTTTCGTTTTCGCCTAGCTTCCAACTTCTCGATCTCGCTATTAAAAGGCCTTTCAGTATCTGCTTCTTCAAGCCACCTCATCAACAGAGGCTTAAGCTTACACATGTTTTTGAAACTCAGCTGCAAGGCCTCGAAGCGGCAGATTGTAGTCTGGCTAAACACATTGCCGTAGAGGGATCCAAGCGCTAGACCCACCTCGGTCTGCGAGAAACGAAGTTTGATTCTTCGTTGTTTAAATTCCTTTGCGAATTGCTCAAGGTCGTCCGATGTTGGATTGCCGTCTTGGGTGAACATTGTTACAGCCTTCCACACTCTAAATTTATTATCAGTGCAATGAAAGGAATAAATTAATTATCATTTACCGAGCGAATCGCCAAAGCGTCTGTCAGCGTTATCTTCCATGATAAATTATGCGCAGGATATCTGCTATGGTTTCCATGGTAATTTGCGTACAAAAAAAATATGGCGATTGAGAGAAGAAGTTCGTTTTCTTTGTTTGAATATCGCTAAGATCTCTACAAATGTAAAGAAAAGTTCCCACCATGTCACACAGGTAGAGTCTTTCAATAATTTTGTTTACAGTTTGAGCCACATACGGGAGCTATCTTTAGATTTTGTATCGCAAACAAACTTGTAAGGGTCGCAAATTGCAAGACTGTTTGTTACGAGATTTTTCAGGAATTGTTAGGTCCCATACAGATACTAAGTTCTCAAAACAAAGTTAACAATCCAGAACAGCTACGAAATAGATCATGGTAAAGTGCGTGAAAGCTGCCAGTATTGCTTTCTTTCACTAAGAGTTAATTCTCTGAGACTGCAGCAACTTCTGCAGTCCGAGAGGCTGCGACTTAAGGGAGAACACCAGAGTGTTTTTAGTAAACTGATTAAACAGAAAACTTCATTTCTTTTCAGTTTTTCTGGTCAGGATATACATGTATGAACTAAGGAAAACTAAAATTAAAAATTAGATGATCCTTGCGCTCATTTTATAAATTTGTATAATGAAGATGATTGTCACTAACTTTCTTATTATTTTTCAGTTATTATGGAAAGCAGTGGGTTGAATCTCAGGGGGGGATTCTCGACCTCCTGGAGGTTGAGCTTCCACCAGAACCTGCCAAGCCAGAAAAGGTACCAATATTAAACAGATACATTTTACTACATTACAAGTCAAACTATTGTGCAAGATCAAAAGAATAAAGGGGATGAGTTTCCAAAGAAACTGTGATGCAGCATTGGTGGGGATTAACACAAGGTAATTATGGTTTTATAAACTGAGTTGATCTTGTAAATTGGAGTTCAAAGCTGACGTTTTGAGCATTAGCTCTTCAAGCCCTAGCCCTTTGCTCTGACAAAGTGCTGACACTCAAAATGTCACCTTTGAAACTCTTTATGGTGTTCAATTTACATTTTCAACTCAGTTGATAAAATGGGAATTACCTTATTGTTCCAGGTTAACTGAAGCCTTTTGTAGTCCAGTAGGTAGTTCAATATTCCACAGGTTAATATTAGAGTCCTCAAGCAGATCACAACGGCAACAACTACAAGAACAAAGGATGTGACGAGGACCTCACTGGCTCAACACCTGCGTTTAACAATTATTTTTGTACAATTCCTAGCATCCCCTGCAAAACAAAAGGTGAAATCACCAAAATTTGCTCGGACTGAGAACAAGAACCCCAATAGCAAATTATTTATGTTTCTATTAATTTTGTGAACAGACAAAATTGCTTGGATATCTTGTGCTCAAGATAAAGAGTGGCATCTTTTGAGATGGTTTAATCATGTCCATCCGTTCGCAAAAATTCTTAGGAAAATATGTATCATTAATATTTTTTTATTAATTTGTAGGACCGTATTGCAGCATTTCAGATGTTTGCTGTGATGTACATCAAATACATTCAAATATTTAGAAGGATTGAAGAATGCTATGATCAGGTGATTTACACTCACAAAATTAATGTTTGCACACTGAGCAGACCTACATGTATATGTCCCGGTTAGCTCAATGGATAGAGCACTGGACTGTTGTGCCGGAGGTCGAGGGTTCAAGCCCCGGCCGAACCAACTCTCAAGGTCTTAAAATGATTGAGAAGAATATGCTACCTTTCTATAACATCAAAGGAATGGTTAGATATTCTAGTCTTCTCAGATAGGGACAAGTAAATGGAGGTCCTGTCTCCAACAGGGTTAGGGGTAGGAGACGATAATTTCCCATGCACGAGATTACTGTATGATGGATGTCCTCCCCTGGGGTGGGATGGGTGGAATTTATTGGGTGGACTACTTGCATGGTTCGCATATGTTCCATTCTAGTCCTACCCTACTGCAGTAAATGCAGTGAAAATGGTTTGACAAATTACAGTGATTATCTTTTAAATGAGGAGAAGGGGTGCAAGGGGGGGGAGGGTGGTGAGGTTAGAACTCTTTCACAGCTTCAAGATATCAATGTGGTACAAATTTATAATTATAATGTTACTGCATATGTCTCTTATCAGGTGGTTCATCCCCAAAAGAGACGGGTGTTGCGTCATTTGCTTGATGGTATAATGGGAAGGTAATAGAGTAAGTTATTCACTCTTGCAGTATCTGTAGACACATACATGTAGCTTTATGACTCTATTTAACCAGGATATCTTTAGACAAACAAAAATACTATAATAGTATTGAATATCGCATAATTATCGGATGGTTATTTTTTCAATTTCATTGCAAGTAAATTGTGGGAACTTTACTTTGTGCCTAAGCAGAGTGATTAAAGAACTCAGTTCTTAGCCCCAGATGTTTTAGAATACTAACAATCATTTTCATTCCAATGTTTATTTTTCTGCAGGATTCTAGAGTTAAAAAATGAAATGGTGCTCCTTGAATTCTCAGAGTATCACTACTTTGATGATGTACTGTCAGATTTGAAACTTACACCTGTAAGTATCAACTGCAACTAATCATTACAGACAGTATGACAGCATCATTCTTTGAACAATGGTAGTTGTAAACCAGAACAAAGCATAATTATTGGAATTTCATTGGTAGTGGTATATTATACCGTAAAGTTAAATTTTATTTTTAAGCCAAACTGGCCATGCAGGCCCCAACCACTGAACCATTTTTGTGATCATAATGATAAATTGAAAATACTATTGATGTAAAAAAAAGTAAGTTTTGCACTCCCTAAGTCTTTGCTCAGGCCCTCAGTGGCCCATCCAGCCAATAGGATAGCTTCTAGAGCAAGAAGCAACTACGAGTGTTACTATCCCCCTGGATGGGATGCTAATCCATCGCAAGGTTGCCCCCTGGCTTTAATTTCCTGACAATTAGCCAGTAGCCATTTATACTCCTGGTTTGAGAGAGAGGCACTGTGAGACTAAAGTGTTTTGCATATAAGAACGTGATACATTGCCCTAGCCAGGGGCCCATTTCTCGAAAGTCCTGTTAACTTAACAGGCCTGTAAAGCTGTTCTGTTTTCATTCAAGATGGGATTTCAAAGGTTTTGAAAATGGTACAATAAAACTATCAGCTAAAGAAACAAAAAGGACTGGTTTAGGTGCCAGAACCTGCTTTCCTATCCTTTATATCTTATTTTAAAACATGTCTTTATGCCTGTTAAGTTACCAGGACTTTCGAGAAATTTGCCCCAGGCCTCAAATCCAGACCCCTTAACCCAGAGTCCAGAGCACTCACCACCCGGCCACCACAAGTTCTATTTGCAGTCCTTAAGACTCCTCATTATTAAATTTCCCACAGTTTTTCCCTTTTTACTTTCTAGGATGATATAGAAATCCCCATTCCAAAATATTTCACATATGAGAATTCCAAACTGCTGCAAGAAAGAGAAAAAATGCTCGGCAGCATCTTGGCAAAAATGGGTCCTCAAGAAACTACACCAGTAAGTTCAGTCTGTTTATTTATTTGTTTTTTTTGGTTATGTTTGAAATTTTCTCCAACAAATAGAAAATTCAGTTCAAAATTCCAGTAGTCATATGATAAATACGTTAAAGAAATATTACAGCCCTAATTATGCAAATTTGAGGGCACAATATCAAAGGTAAAATTACATGCTATGAAAATATTGTCCATGTACACATAATCCTAGCAAAAGTATTATTATCATTCAGTAATTATACAGTAAATGTACAAAACATTTAACCTTTGATTAAAGTAATATTCAAAATTCTCCCTAACTTTTATGTAAATCCTCTTTTTTAAACAGCAAAAGGAAGAAATACAGATGACTCTTGATGACGCCATCAGACTTATTCAGGTTAGTTATTAAGTACTAACAGTACTTCTCAAATAGATGTCAACTATACAGACGCATAATTATACACTCAGACACATGGTTGTCAGATGTGCATTTTCACTGTAATTAGTGAAGTTCAACATGCATGAAGGAAAGTTGTGCAGGACTTATTTGTCTTTGTAGTTCTTTTTTTTGTGTGTGTGTGAACATTCTCTTTGCTTATAATAAGTTTATGAACAAACAACCTAAAACCTTGCAGGTACACGAAAGAGCTCGCCAAGGAAGACTGAGAGCAAACTTCATGAGAGAAATCAGGTTAAACACAGTATTTGATTGGTTAAGTGTGTTTACAAGTCAGGTCACCCATTAGGCTGATGCTTAACTCCAGTTTCCATAAAAGATCATATAAACCAAAAATTCGAGAAATCTAAGTATACTATTGCTGTATGTAATCAATCAACATGTACCTCATGCACAGTACAACAGTGCTTACTTATACCCATTCCTCTTCTCCAAGATTTTTTTTTAAGTGGATTGAGGTTGTTGTCATTTCTTGTTCTTACTCTCAAGAGTTTTTTCACTGGCTTAGAACTGTATGTTGTACTTCTCCCTCCTCAACAATCAACATTCCAAATTTTGATTTTACCTGGAAACAGTAGAAGACAAAATTAAGCCACTTTATGGATGTACAGTGTTAATCAAATTCATGTATTTAAAATAATATAATTCTCATTTAGACAACAAGAAGAGAGAGAACGTCAAGCTCAATTGCGTGGAGCACCAACCATGGATCCTGACATTGCAGCTATGAAAATTCAGAAGGTTATTAATAGTAGAAGTAAACTAAAGTTAAACTGAAGTGTTGAACACTTTATTGCATAGTTTATCATGGTTTGATATTAATCAGCGAGTTCCAATCATTAGCTGTGCTCTCTTCCTGACAGAATATTCAGCAGCTTGAATCATCCCTTTTCACCCAAACATCGTTATGCATACTCTAGCCACCGTTTCACTCTCTCTTCCCTCCTCATCTCTCCACATATTTCCTAAGGTGCTAATAACAATCAAGCTGGTGATCATTTTCCTTCATTCTTGTGACATTTAGTTAATGTTTGATCTAGGGTTAATACTGTGTTGAGAAATTAGACGTCAGTTACTCTTGGGATCTAAAGTGCTGCAATACTAGTGTTGATTTTGCTGGGGTTGTCAAAACATCAGTCAACAGTCAGACTTCACAATTACAGATCCCACAAGTGTTTCAGCTGTGATGGGTTTTGTAAAGCTTATAATTATTATGCTTTTCTTACAAAAGACTCGATCTGCTTAGTATCTGTGATATAACTGTCCTACTGTCTGCAGGTTTGGAAAGGTTACTCACAAAGAAGAAAGACAAAGAAAATGAGAGAAGAGGAATTAATATTTGTTGGAATGGTAATTAGCGCTAAAGTTTTTCTTTGTCTAACAGCCACTTCATGTATTTGTTTTATGACTAAATTAATCTTCATGTAGAGGATTAAAAAAATGAGCACTATTTTAGATTTATTATTCCAGCAATTTCTCTTTAACTCAGTTGACCATGAAATGGGAAATTCTTCATCGGCCTACATGTTGTTACTTCTGACCAATATTAGGACAATTGTTTATAATTTGATCCACCCGCAGGCTTCCCCTCCTGAGCCAAAAGATTGGAAAGACACACCTATGTATTCAGCTAAGAAGACAGAGGTAAATTAACAATAAAAAGTGGTGACTAAATAATAAAGATGTAAACTACATGAACAACATTTGTACAGTAAACTATAAGGTCCTTTGCTTAAATGGTGAGTCCTGTTTGAGGTCACAAAGTGTTTATCATAGGCTCTGGAGATCAGAGAACTCTCTGTGACTGAATTTCAATGATTGGAGCTAATTTTTATTTAGACATGGAACCTTAAAGTTTAAAATTAAGTTTATTCTTGTGTTAGTACATCATTGTCCAAAGAAAACCTGAAAACATGCATGAGCCTTTAACATTAACTAACTATACATATGATGCACGATCCTCGCTAAGTTTATACCTAACTGTACTTAAATCTATTAGATAATTAATCTACCATTATTTGAAAAGGATCTTCAGTTGTTTACTGATCATAATCAAGTCTTGTCATATTTTTAGATGAAACAATTTTTAGTGTAATAAAAAAAATTTTAAACTTTTTTTAAAAAAGCTTTATGTTGATTATTTGTTAATATGTTCAGGAACATAGAAGAGTCGTTCAAGAAGAACATGAGAGAGAATACCAACAAGTAAGTTTGATCACAAAATGATGAAGTTTAAAAAACTGTTTTTGTTACTTTTATTACTTTCCAACTGTTCTTTACTTGTTGCCTTTGACTTTTTTTTCGTTGTGGCTTTACAGTTGGACAAGAATTAGTGCCATGCAACCTACAGAACAGAATACCCATCAGCATTTTTTTATGGTTTCTGTCAATATTTAACCATCCATGCACAGTTTGATTGAAGAGAAGTGTGTTTGTAAACAAATATTTTCACTAATTATTTCTTTTCAAGGCACTTGTTTCCATTAAGGAAAAGATCCGTGAGATTGAGGGACCAGATGTGAAAGAAAACATGCAAGATCAGATCAGACAATGGTTTATCGAGTGCAGGTTGGTTTCTCAACAAACCTTACCTTAGAATTCCTGTGAGTGACCAAGACAGAGTTTCTCCTCCACTGGATAATCATTATTGGCCCTTGAACAGCTGGACCGTGGTTTGAAGTTTGTAGGCTGGTCTTGTTTTAACTTACAGTTACCTTGGGGTTGTTCAAAAGTGGCTTTAGACATTAGAGAGTATTGTTAACCACTTGGTTCTCAATCTTAGATTGTTAAAGTTTACCTTTTCTCTTCTGAGATCATTCTTGAAAAATACTGATTTTTGGGTAAAGATTCTGCAAACAGTCTGCCTTGTGCTGCTTTTAGTACACTCTTTGTGTAATATGATTTGAAGAGTGAAATGAATAATTGGAAGAAAACAAGGGATGGTTTTTTACAAAATATAATGGTTCATTTGATCCCATTGCTTCATTTTTTGTCAGGGATAAGACAGGCAAGTTCCCAGATTATGCCGATGATGATGAAGGAGGCTCTGCTGCCATATTCAAAGAGAAAGATCCTTTGGAGGTAAACATCACATCTATTGACGGTAGCTGTGTTTTATTTGCTAGTGATATCACCCTTGGATCACAGTGTTATGTCATGGACTTCAGGATGTGCTATGATCAAGGCACCCTCCTTTTTAAGCTGCACTTTGCTTTATTAATTATGTAATATTCTTTTTTATTCTCAGATGGAGAAGGAAGAGGGACAAAAGGTAAAAACAGCACAGTTTTTATATGCAATAATTATACTTTTCTTTCAGTGTAGAATACTGTGCCCATGTACAGGTAGTTTGGCAGAGGCAAGAGAACTTTTGAAACTCTGCCTAGTAATTTTCCAGACAAGACAAAAGTATGGATAATAAGACTTATTATTACTCTTATATGGCAAGGTAGTCTTAGGTAAATCTTAGCATTCTGATTGATTCTTACTTGGTAAACAAGTTTGCTCTGGTCGCCATGTAATAAATTATTAACTAACCTTACTTACTTGAGTCCCACTGGAGATTATTGGCCCTCGGTTGTTTTTGCACTCAGTCTATCCCGCCACGACCTCAAGCCAAAATTCCCTAGTATGGTCCTTGCCTTAATTGTACAGCAAAGTCTTCACATGGCATGAGCCCTGATCATTTTATGTGACTGCAAATTACAACTACTTACAGCTGAAAATACAACAAGTATAAATTACACTGAGTTGCCCTTGAAAATAATAATTTAAAGTTGTTTTTAGACCAGAATAGAATTGTAATGATTGTAAATTGTATTCAACAGGATGATGATGGGGGAAAGAAGAAAAAGGGAAAGAAGGGAAAGAAAGAGAAGAAAGAAAAAAAGGATAAAAAGGACAAAAAAGGAAAGAAAGGGAAAGGAAAGGGAGGAGATGAGGTGGGTCACTAGCATTAAAATTATTTTGAAAATTAATCACAGTTTGTGATTGAACTTGTGTACAATGTCTTTTTGTTCTTATTAAGGGCTAGACATTTAAGCGAAGTTTAGCCGTGGTTGAACAAAACCGCATTCTAAACTTCGAATTTGTCGAATTTCTTATCTGAACATTTATTAACTAAGATGAACAGAGTGAAAAGGGCTGAAAGCTAACAGTGGAAGGACATTTGCTTAATCAAATCAACCCTCCTCTAGAGGATACCTAAGGCTCAATGAGTGTCAAAGGGTTAGGGTTAGGGTTAGGGTTAGGGTTCAGGTTTGTTTTAATAACCAGCCCTAAATAGTTACCCTGAATTATGTTCAAGAAGCTACTCTTTCTTTATGAAACTTCTCAAATATTTCAGTTTAATGAGCTTGGTATTTGACTAATGAAGTTTTGCTCATTACTGTTTTAAAGGAAGAAGAAGAGGGAATAAAAATGCAAGTTTCAAACTTTGTTCCAACTGTGAATGAAGCGGCTGCTACTTACAAAGGTCAGTTACAATGGCCATCAAGTCTCTCTTGTTTTCTTGTGCTTCAGGCTGTTGACTTGTTTTTGCCACGAGCTCTAGCTCCTTGTTGCATTTTATCCTTTAGCTGCTTGCATTGGCTGTTTGGATTACTTTAGAATTGGCTCACCTAATAGTATGAAAAATATATTGTTTATTTTAGATGTGTGGCAGTTCAGAGATGAGGGCACTAACTTTGAGCAGAAACATGATGCAGAATTAATCAAGGAAGCCAAAAGGTCAATAGAAATCCCCGTCACTTCTTTGTTTAAGAAACTGGATAGCAATTTTACAAATCGAATGTGGTTTGGCGTGGTCTGTACTGTTGTCGACAACGATATTCGCAATCACTGTGGTCACAATTTTGTGGACTCGTGAGGTGCAGCAAGTGTTTTGATTCCTTTACCTATATTTTTTAGGATTGAAGTCGAAGAGGAAATCCGCAAGCAGGTTGACGAACTCATGCGGCAAGAACTGAAAAACTTGAAAATGGTTAGTGCTTTACACAGACACAGCTCTTCCACTCCAAGAACATGGATATTGTTGGGAGAGAAATAAAAATTAGCTCAATCTTTTTGCGAGGAAAAGAACGTCAAGATATAAAAGGAAAAAACACCTGTGTTAACAGTTCTGTTTGTTTGATATATACAGATGTTAAAGGGAAAAACACTTATTATATATAACAGCTTTATTGTAATCGTAATTGTAATTCACATTATAATTACATTACATTACAATTGGGTTAGAGAGGGAGAAACTTAATCCCCATATTAACTATACCCCATATTATAATTATAATAAACAAACAGTTCTGTTTGTTTCATATGTACAGGCTGTTGATAGGGAGAAAGGTGGAAAGAAGGGAAAGAAAGGAAAGAAAAGTGGAAAGAAAAGTGGGAAAAAGGTAAGTAGTTACCGACTTATCTTGAGTTTTGGTAAGGCGTCTGTATCGTGAAGCAATGGACCATTTGGCAACCAAAGGTGATGATATATTGACATAGTTTTCATCGTGTTTCTTCAGAAAAAGAAGAAGAGTGGAAAGAAAAGTGGAAAGAAGGGAAAGAAAAAGAAGAAAGAGAAAGATCTGACTGCTGACAGGTCAGTGCTTCTTATCAAATTCTCTCGAGGCTTTCACCTTGATTATTTTAAATTTTTATTTTCCCCTTATTGAAATTTGGATTTGGGTCAAATAATTGTCAGTAGTAGCTTTTGCCTCAATCAAGTCGCTGGTTTACCTTAAAGAGTTATAATCTTTCAATCATGCCATTCTTGCTATCCATGCGATTCCTGAAACTCACCCTCCCCTCCCCCCTCCTCACGACTCTCGACACATCTTTCCTCCATTACTCCATTGTCACACAATCTCCCTATTTGTGACCATTCCTTTTTTAAAACTCTCTTCTGTGACTTTGAAGTCGTTATTCCACTTGTATCACACAATCTTTCATGACTGCGTTCACTCCTAACCTTTCCTGCTTGATCTTCCCAGCTTTGATAACATAGCTATGTTCCTAACTGCAATTACCTAGACGTTTGTATTTCCAAGTAAAAGTTGTCCTTTTATTCCATATTTGTATAGAACAATAGAGTCACTTTATGAAGAACTGGTCCACGAAGGAATCCTAGTGAGACCTCCCAAGATTAATCTGAGGGACTATGCTGGAGAATACAGGTGGGTATACTTTGGAAAACAGCTAAAGCGCCTGAAACTCTCCCGGCCAATAGGCGGATTCATGCTGTCATTGTTTACATTTTTGCTCATTTGCATACGGCTTTGCGTGAAGAAGGAAGCATGTTAGATACAAATTGACTTCAGGCAGCTAAAGAGCTAGAAAACCTCAGTACATGGTGAAATGTTTAGCTCTTTGGGTGTAATATTCAAGGAGAAATAGTCCATCAAAAACTGCAAAATTTCTGGGTGGCAAAAGCGCTAATGAGCTCATACATTTTATGTAAAATTTTGAGTTTTAAACCCATGTTGCACAAAAACTATTCA